TCAGCATCACCTGGATGCAGGCCGTCCTCAGGCCCCCATGTCAACCTCCTAGATCAGAAACTCGGGGGAAGTGTTCCCTACCCCCTCCCCGCCCCCATCCCTCACTCTGTCTGAACAAGCCCTCCAGGGATCATGGTGCACACTGAGTTTGAGAGCCACTTATTCCTCATCTTCAACAACCCCTTGAGGATGCATAGTGTTATGTCCCTGTTGGGTAGGTTGAGGGGGTTCAAGCACAGAGATGTTGAACAACTTCTCCGTATGCTATTCAGTCATTCGGTAAGCAGCGTCCATTCACTAGGGGCACCTTCTTGCTCTCGTCGGATGCTCACAGTGACCCAGCGCGGTGCCCATTTTTATCTCCATTTTATAGGCAAGCCGGGGAGGCCCAGGGACATGAAGCGATGCTCCACGGTCACATAGCAGCAGCTCAGCTTTGACGTGGCAGCTCAAACCAGATCTCTTCACTCTGGTTGGGTTTTCCCCACAAAGCCACCCCCGCCTCTGTCCCTGGCTGTGTGCTTCTCCCCAGCCGCCTGTCCCCTGGGAGGCCTGCCTCCCCTCCCCTCGTCCCCAGCACGGAGGTCTGCCGCTGTCCTGCCGCTGAGCCTGACTTTTCACAGCACAGGTACTGGTGCTGCAATGGGTTTCCTCTCTCTCCTTGCCGGCAGTGTCCCTGACAGGACGTGCTCGCACTCAGTTGTGCCCCAGACAGAGTGCCTCACAGGGAGTACCGGGCCCTCTGGGTCCTGCCGCTCCTAGCGTTCCTGGGGGCAGCACAGCTGGGCACAGCACTGATTACTTGTGCCAGGCTCACACCTTGCCTGCCATCCCTTAGTTTCTTCTGGGTTTCTTTTGGGACTTTTTTTCCCCCTGCATCCCTATTTGAAAAAAACCCCGTGGAGATTTTTCTTGTGTGTGTTGGGGTGGGGGCAGGGGGGTGCGGAACACAGAGAATGTTCTTTGCCTGATTCCAGTGAAGGCTAACAAGCAGAGAGCTACAAATCCCAGCTGGCCCTGAATGTCAGGAGTGACGGTTGCCCCGGTGGAGTCACTGGAATGCCCTCTCCTCCCTGCCGATCCCTGGCATCCTCTTGGTCTAGGTGGCTCAGGCTACTCTGGCTTGCAAGGACGCTGAGCTCGCCAGTCTGCGGAGCCTTCCCGGTCTCTGATGGGATTGTCTGGGTAGCAGTCGTTCTCCCTCTTCACTTGGCCCTGGGGGACTGATTCACCTTTCTGTCTTCTGAGCACAACACAGGGCCTGGCACGTTAGGGACTCCAGAAACGCCTGTGTCAGGCCTGGATCCTTCTTCCAAGTCCTAGAAGTAAACATCACCCACTTGGCCCTAGTTGTCTACATCATGTCTTCAGGTACAGCTCGTGGATGTGTGCTGAGCACCAGGGTCAGGACTGGAGGGAGTGAGCAGGATGCTCTGTGGGCTTCCTTAGAAAGAACCTGTGGTTCATGTGTCTGAGAACTTTGTCAAGCTGCTTAAAATTTATAAACACAACTCACACATTCTCTAGTGCAATTCTGTTGGTGCTCTCCTGCCTCGTTTCACCTTCGGGATCAGCAGTTTATCTCTGAATGCCTCAGAGCCACCTGTGCTTCCCTTCCAGCCACCAGGACTGATGCAGGGCTAAGGAAGGACCACTGGAACTGGTCAGGCCCTAGAAGGAAACTGATGGCACACACAGACGAGCTGGGAAGGGTTTGAGGCAGGGCCACAGGCATGGGAGCCAGTGAGGGTGGTGGAGCTCCCTAGAGAGAGTCACTACAACCCCTGGGCCCATAGGGCACGAGGCAGGTGGCCTTAAGGAGCCCAAGAGAGTCGGAACTCTGGGAGAGGGTTTCTGAAAGGCGCAGGGGATCTGACCTCTCTTTCCACCTGCCATCAGGCCTCCCAGTGACCAAACTCAACCAGAAACCCGAGGCAGTGGGAGCCCAGTTATTCATTCTGTAAAGTCAGGAGCTCAGGCACGGAGCAAATTAGGGGCACCTGTTTGGGGCAGGAGTGAATTGGAAGAAGAGTGAGTTTGGAGGAGCAGATAACATCATCACCCCCAACCCCCATCCAAGCTTTGTGACCAGTAAAGGCAAGTATGACATCCATATAAAATATAAGGAATTCTTGGGAGTGGACAGTGGTCACTGAATCTGATATTCAGACCTGTCACTCTGATAAGAGGAATGTCCCAGTAGTTGTGGCCGTTGGTCGGTCCTCTTTAAGTCACTACATTCAAACACTTGAAACCTGGACTTCGTAGCTTCCAAACCAAGTTATCATGGTGACACCATATTTGTGACTCTGCTCTTTCAAGGAGCATTCATCCCTGTCCCCTGTTCACTCCGAACCCCAGCCCCCGACCCATTCTTGGCATTCACTCCCGGCCCCACAAAAAGTTGGGACCATCCAGAACTCCAAGGCATGTTCACGGCACTCCCGATTTTCTGCATTCCCGGGGAACAGGGCCTGGGCTCTACGGCTCCAGATGATGAATTTATTCATGGTGGCAGGTGTATTGGACGAAACTAAAGAGTTTGGAAAATTATGTAAAATGTTTGCGCATGTGCGCACTTGTGCTTACATTTAATGGGCCCATTTTAAAAAGGCCCTGAACCCTGAAGCCAAGACAAAGTTTGATATCTGGGAGGCCGCGTGTTTAAATATTTGTGATTCCAAAGAGCCTGATTCAGCTTTTATCCATTTTTGTCCCCTTCCTGGCTATGTTTCCCACGTACAGGCGTTTTCCTATTCATTTCCTTCGTGATTTAAATGGTGACAGTTGCATTCCACTTTACAGTCTTTCATGCTGAGTCTTTGGGAGATGATATCCAGAGATAAGCGATGGTGTCTTTGTTTTACAGGTGGAGAAATTAAGATATGCATAATATGGTCTAATTTTTTTTTAATTTTTAATTTTTTAATTTATTTATTTGAGAGAGAGAATGAGAGAGAGGGCATGAGATGGGGGAGGGTCAAAGGGAGAAGCAGACTCCCCGCCGAGCAGGGATCCCCCCCCCCCGATGCAGAACTCGATCCTGGGACTCCAGGATCATGACCTGAGCCGAAGACAGTTGCTTAACCAACTGAGCCACCCAGGTGCCCCAATATGGTCTAATTTTATGTGAGACGAGGTTGGGTTGGTGGCTCGTGGGTCTGAGTTTCCCCACACTCCCTCTTGCTTCTTTCTGAAAGCTGAATTTCCTCACAGCAGCCCTGTGAGCTTTGGGGCAGGGTAATTCTCTATTGTGGGGGCTGCCCTGTGCTTCGTAGGGGGTCGAGCAGCATCTCTGGTCTCTGCCCACTTGATGCCATAGCCCCGCACATCCCCAGGAGTGACCACCAAAAAGGACTCCAGGCAGACTTTGTCCGATGTTCTGGGCAGGGCAGGGGGGATGACTTTTGCCTCCTATTGAGAACCACTGGCTTCCAGCAGAGGAATTTTAAATCCTGGCCATCAGAGACTGTGAGTTAATTGGTCTGAGGTGGGGTTGGGGCACAGGGTGTAGTTTAAAAATCTTTCCGGTGTTTCTGGTATGTTACAAGGATGAAGAATCTCTGTTCCAGAGTTTGAATCCCACCTGTCTAAGCCCGAGTAACTTTCCTTGATGATGATGTGGGTGGGGTGGTGAAGCAGGCCTGGGAGCCAGAGGTCATTGTCCTGAAAGCCTGTAGGGGAGAGGCCAGGATATCAGAACTGCATTTTTCTTCCCTTCCCTTCCCCCCCCTTTTTTTTTTACTTTTTACTTTAAAGTAATTCTAGACTCCTAGGGAGTTGCAAAAGCGGTGCATGGAGTCAACAGAACTGGCTGATTAGAATAACGGGGGTCCAGAAGCTGTGCCATGGGAACCAGGGCTGTGAGTAGTTTCATTAGGTATTGGGTGCTGGAGGGAAAGTGCTTGTTCTGCAGTCCTCCCAGGACAGAGCAAGGTGGGGTGGGTATTAGGAGGCTGGTTTCAAGTCAAGGAAGGCTGCACATCAGTAAAAGATACATCGAGAGGTGTGAACCTTTCATTCTTCGAGCTGTTTTGAGAGGCTGGATGACTTTCTGTATGGGCTGCACTAGACGAGGGCTTCTCAATCTTTGTCAGGTTGCTGAAGCTCAGAGGGTAGCCCAGCCTGAGGGAACCAGCCCTGCCTGGTAGCCTTGAGCTCTCGCTTGAAGAAATAAGTGACTTTGTATCCTATAATTCACGTACAGCCCACCGGGGTGCCAAGGGACCTCCCCTTTGGGAGGCTCAGCTCTAGAGATCATCTCTGCTGTGATTGGAAGGCAGCGTGCTGAGCACCATGTTCTGCTCTTGGTATTATCCCCTTATGTACTCCATGACCACCTGCAGGACGTGCCATGGCCCCTGTATTACTGTGTGTCACCTGATGCCACCACTTTCCCAGGGTCACCCTGAGCTAAAGGACAGAGTCAGAGGAGATGGGCCATAAGGTTCCCTTTAATTCTGCCAGTCTTCAGTTCTTAGAATGATGTCCCAGCTGGGGCCCTTTTTATAGATGTACCCTTATAGACGTTCCCATTGGTCTCTTGGCCCAATCAGGCACCCCTAATCTGAGACATCTTGCAAGAACATTTCCCACCTCCGAGCCATTGCTTCTCAGTCTAAGACCCCTGACTATCAGTTCTTCCTTTCGGAATGTATTTCTTTCTTCTCTCTTGTCACCAGTTGTCACGGTCTCCCAGCGTGGGAGTAGGAGACTCACCGTTTGCCTGTTTGAGCCAATCGCCCTTTCTCTCGTCCCCAAAACGTAATTGCAAAGAGCCTTAACGATTGGTTTCCAAATGATGATTGCTCCATAAACTGATTAAAAGGGCCTTAGTAAAACCATCTCAAGTTATTTTCCACAGCTGCAAACTATGCCCTTTGTTTTCTAACGATCCCCATAAGAGATCAGGGTGATTTTTCTTTTCCACATGGTCTGAAGCACCAGGAAGGCCCTCTTCCATCTGTCTGACTTCTTGCCCTGTGTTCTTTGCTTCCCAGACAATCCACGTTGCTATCGTCTGTGCCGGGTATAATGCCAGCCGCGACGTTGTCACCTTGGTCAAGTCTGTCCTGTTTCACAGGTAAGCGTGGCCGTGGTACCCTGCGGGCTGGTGCGTGAGGCTTGGGCGCGCGGCTTGTGCATGTGACTCGTGCATGTGACTTGTGTGTGTGACCGCCAGCCTGCACGCTTCCTCAGGGGAGGGGTATAGAAGAGCAACATTTCTCGTCAGTCATTGAAGCTGCCGTGAAAATGTGATTTTTGTCTGAAACCCTGGGGAGATTATTGTGTTAATAATGTTTAACAGGAGCAATGAGGTGTTGTCCCACAATGTTTAGGATTGTAGCTCTTAGACCTAAGGGGACCCTTTAGGGACACTCCAAATTTGAGGCTTCCATTTCTTCCTTGGCCTTCCCTTGCCTGACAGTCACCAGACCCCTCTGTGTACACGCCCCTATTGATAGGTTGTGTGATGGACTGAACAGTATCCCCGTAAAATTGATCTGTTGGAGCCCTCGCCCCTAATAACTCAGAATGCGAACTGTATTTGGAATTGGCCTTTAAAGAGGTAATTCAGTTAAATTGAGGCAATATGAATGGACTGTAGTCTAATATGACTGGTGTCCTGATAAGGAGGGGAGATTGGGAGACAGCCTCACACAGAGCAAAGACCATCTCCAAGCCCAGGAGGGAGGCCTCAGGAGAACCCAACCCTGCAGGCACCTGATCTCAGATTTCACCCGCCAGAACCACAGAAACTAAGTTTCTGTTGTTTAGGCACCCCCAGTGTGTGGTATTTTGTTAGGACAGCTCTAGCAAACTGATAGAGGTTGCTTACTCTATTCCAACGTAGCCTGTCCCACGTCTGGGCGTTTCTAACCATCAGAAAGTCCTGTCTTATATTAAACCGCAGTTTTCCAACCCGTAGCTGCTGTCTGTGGGTCCTAGTGGATCCCCATGGAAACGGCCCTATGAACGATGGGGTCCTTTTCCACCTGGAAGTGATCTGCCTCTCCCGAGTCATCTCTTGTCCAAGTTAAACTCCTGCCACTTGCTTGTTCTTTTTAACAGGGACTTTCTTCTGTTTTCACTGTTCAGCTTGATGGATATCTAGACTTACTGACGGTGTATCCAGATTTGAGTCTGTAGTTCCAGCCAGTGTCCTTGGCTCTGTTCTAACATTCTTACCAAGGGTTTAGATGATATCTTGAGATATCAAGACAAAAGGACTTACCAAGCTGCTTATTCGTGGCTGTAGCCAAGATCCAGAAGGTTCTGAGCAGTAGGAACAGTGGTGAAAAGCTCTTAGAGCTCAACAAACCAAAGATCACTGTGAAGTTAATGCCCAAATCTAGCGGTCAGTGGCCGCAGCAGAGATGGGAGGTGTGGTGGGTGGGCACCCAAGACTGGCAGGCCATGCAAGAAACTGACTGTTGGTTCCACTTTCTCTCTCAGAACCCCACCCAGCCCCTCTGTGATGCACTTGGGGGTTTTCCCTCTTCATAGTGTTAATTCCATCCCTTTCTCTTCATGCCTACTGCACCTGGCACAGTTAAGGTCTGCATGTTCTCTCTCCTCCACCTGGCCTTCCAGTCCCCACAGAGCCAGCCTCTAAGGCCAGGTGATATTTCAGAAAGGCAAATCTAATGTCTTCATACCTTTCATTGGCTTCTTGTCATGGAGGGGAGAGAATCGAGCTTCTTTACCATCAGGTTAGAGACCACACAGACCATCAGGGCCTGCTGTTATTCTCAGCATGCTTTCTCTCTCTTGCCCTTGCTGGGGCTTTACTCTCCAGCAACACGGACCTGCTCATAGCTTTCACCCTCTCCCGGGTGTGCCCTGCCTGTTGTCATCCCCATGCTGCTCTGTTTGTCCCTTTCTCACCTCCTCCCTCCTTTTTCCCCTCCCAACTTTGCAAACTCCTTATCCTAACAGGAGGCCCACCAGTACCGGTCAGTCTGGGCTAGGGCTCTGCCTTCTCCCAGCCCACAATACGCTGTGCATCTTTTTATCACTGTACTTAGTACATTGTCTTTTATTTATTCACATTGTATCTTTTGTAGTAGAATATGGGACTTCTGGGGACAGAAAGCATGCCTTGTATTTCTGGATTCTCCGTATCTTAGGGAAGGACTTCACAAGTGTTAGATGCTCAGTCAATGTTTACTTGTTTAACTAGTGAATCTGGGAAACTTCATTAATAAATAACCTGAAGATCTATTTATTCGACTAGTTAACTAATAGATCTAGCTCAGACCTGGTTTGATGACACACTCATACCACTCTATACTGAGTGACTTTCAGCAGGTCATTTTAACCCTTTAGACTTTAGTTCTTAGGTCACTTAACTTTTGCTGTGAATCCGTGCACCCCAGAATTTATTAGGTTGAAGACAAAATTTATTAGCTCAGTTGTACTGAACCACCCGGTGGGTCTTTTCCTTGGGTGCCCTGCTGTGCTTATAGTCAGCAAGCAGATTTGCTCCCCACCCAGGAGTGGGGGGATTCCCTGCCTCAACCCCCCCAACCCCAGAGTGGGGAAAGGGGAGAAATGAGTAACCACCAAGTAGAGAACACTGTCAGCTAGTGGTAGGGGCTCTCCGTTCCCTCCTCTTAGCCTGTGCAGTTGGCATTGGGATTTCAGCTGCACGTCTCAGAAGGAAATGTAATACCAAATAAATAATGACCAAGCAGGGCTCAACCTCACGTCTTTGACATAAGGTGAGAAACCCTTTGTTCACCACCATCGCCCCTGTGCCATTTTTGAGACTCCTTGTGGTTCTGCAGCCTTCATCTGCTGCTTGAAACCAGGCATTTTGTCTTCTAAGCACTGAATTAGAGGAGTGGTTCTCAACTTTTTTGTGTTTATTTCTTGTCACCACAAAAGAACTCGATCCCTCCCTGATTGGGGGGGCGCCCCCTTTTTAGAAAAGAGGATTTGCATGATTACAGATAGTCACTTGTGCTGTTTCTCAATTATGGCAAATTTTAAAGCCATAAAAATGTTCGGTGTTGTTGGGCATAAATATTATCACTGTTGCTTTAGCTACAAATCAAATAATTCCAGTAGTTGCTGAAACCCTGAGGAACCCCACTGAGTGTAAACTTTTACTCCTACAGTCACTGTGTAGCACAAAGATGTTACATTTAAAAATAGCAGGTTTATAATTGGCCCCTGATGGCATGCCGTGCTTTTGTGGAGGCATGGAGAGTTGAGAAGAAAGCAAATTCTTAGTATGCATTAGGAAAATTCTGCACGCCACGTCAGTGACCACTTGATCTTGGTTCAGATGACCACTTCAGTCCCTCCCATCCTTGAAATTCGACAAATGAGAATGTGAATTGATGTACTGGTGATAATGACTTGAGATATCAAGACAAAAGGACTTTTGAAAGACTTTGCGCACAGAAAGTCTGTCTATAAATAGCTTCATTGCTTCCGAGGCACGTTATGGGGATTAACCAATACATGATTATAATGCTTTGGCAAATGAAGTACCTTTCTAATGTTAATAATAATATAATAATAGTGGTAGGATGCTTCTTTTGGCTTTCACTGTTAATTACAGCAATTAGATTTATTTTCCAGACAGGATTTTCAGCAAATTTTCACTTAAGGCTTGCTTTGTTACATCCAATCCATTTTACTTCTGCAGTATGCCTGGCGACAGTGGGCATGCTCTAGTTTAAAAGATCGTAAAAGAGTGATCCCAGGCACTCTTATATACTCCTACCAGAGCTGCAAATTGCTATAATCTTTTGGGAAAGAAATCTTATGGTGTTAATGCCCAAGACCTTGACCCCATACGACTACTTCAGGGACTCTGTCTTCAAAGGATAATCCTGACTACCAAAAACACTTTTATGACATAACTATTTATAATCCTAAAAATTTGAATAATACTTAGAAAACAATAAGACTAAATAGTGGAACACCGTTTTGTAGTAAACCATGTTCTTGGTTGGTCTTAAAACATATGTCCTAATGTGGACAAATTATATTTTATATTTTATGATATAAGTGACAACACAGTTCAAAACATGTGCATAATATTATTCCACTGTGTAAGAACAAGCCATGTAAACATGGTCAAAATACCAGTGGCAGAAGGACTGGCAGAGGCCATGTTTAGAAATGGAGTTCTTTGTGTTGTGTTTAGAGAAGGAGAAATAAAGGTGATCTTGCTTTTGTCTTCTCTTTCCATGTATTTTTGGTCATCTCATTATGCAACCTCTATAATAAAGAAAAAGGGTAGATGAGAAAAAGTAAATATAAAATATATGTGAAAGAGAGTTTACCTAGCAGAAAAGAGTACATTATGTTCCTGTGTCACCTAGATGGAAGGGTGTTTAAAGAAAAATTGGGGGACAGAACTCCAACTCCATTTGCAGATAAACTGGGAAGTATAGCAGCTCTTCAAGGAAACCGAACTTTTAGTGAGCACAGGAAGAAAAAAAATTACTTAGCAGCTAGGTGTTTACCTCCTGGACAGGAAGGTGGGTCAGCTTGTAAAAAATTAATATTTGTTTGCGAGGATGATCTACTTATTCTCACATTCTACAGCCCTGTTGTCAGGAAGAAGCTGGGTGATTTCCCTTACTTTGCATATCAAGCAGCTGGGTTTTTGGTGGGTTTTTTTGTTTGTTTGTTTGTTTGTTTTTTTAAACTTCACTGTGCCCCTGAAGAACATGGAGGATAAAACAGCATATTTGTGCCCAGTATCTGCCTCTAATTGTGTTATTGCTCATTCAGGCTTAAACTTATTATAGAAGCAGTTTCCAGATTGTGATGTCAAGAACCTAGGATTTGAATAAAACAAACAAACAGAAGTAGGTTCTGATTCTGGTCTTATCATCTGTGAGCTGGGCGACCCTAGTGAAGTCTCTGTACTTAGAGGTTTGGCTTGTTCTCTAACCTCTCTTAGAGCCCTGTTGGACTATTATCAGAGGTAATCTATGTGAAACATTTCTGTATTTTGTGTATTGAACAAATACAAACCTAGCTCTCTAAGTGTTTTTCAGATATTAATGCATTTCATGCTCCTGTGACTCCATGAGGTGGGTACTATAATTATCCCCA